GAGGTCAAAAAGAGTGATGAGGGATCAAATAAAAGAGAAGAGGATAGAAACTATAAAGAAAGAAATGAGGCCAGGAGAGATAAAAACGAGAGAGAAGCCAGAAGCAAAGAGGAGGAAAGCAAGCGCGAGAAGGAAAAAGCGCGACGAATAGCAGAAGACATAGAGGAAGATGTAAGAAGAAGAAGAGAAAAGAAAGAAAGAGAGAAGGAGCAGAAAGCAGAGAAAGAAGAAAGAGAGAAAGAGCAAAGGAAGAAAAAAAGAATAATATGGAGGAAAGTAAGAGGAGAAGGTCCGAGGGAAAGAAGAGAACTAGTGGAGATAATAATGGAAAGAGTGACAGGAAGAATAATCCCGGTAAGAGGAGTAGTAGAGGCAATTGGAGCAGACAAAAACGAACTGATGTTTATGGAGCTGGAGGAAGAAGAGGACAAGGAAAAGATAATTGAAAAAAGCGAGAAAATATGGAGGAGATGGGAAGTGGGGGTAGATGAGGAACTTTCAATGGAAGAGAGGGCATATAGACACAAGCTGGTAAACAAAGCAAGAGAGGAAAGAGCGAAAGGAAGATCGGCAGTATTAACAAACAGAAGGCTGTGGATCGACGGGAAAGAGGTGAAATGGGACGAAGAGGGAGAGAGATGGAGGAGGATGTAAATCGCCAAGAAAGAAACCAAGGAAGCAGTGAATGGAATCAGAAGGAACGAGAGGAAGGAAGTCGAGGAGGAAAACGCGAGAGGAAAACCTGGAAGGAAAAGGAGGAAGGAACTGAAGAGAAAAGTTACAGGAACCAGTAGGACCGGAGGAAAAAGGGGGGAGGAACGAGTCAAGGGGGGCATCTTGGATTATATAGAGTCAATATTTTTAACAGACAATATTGTAAAAATACGAAGATAGATAGTAGGAGATGTAAAAGTGGACCCCTTTCTTTGGATTGTATAGAGTAAAAAAGAGGCCAGGCCAGGAGAGCAGAAGTTATGTAACGGTTTGGGTACGTTCCGTAAAAACGCCTTGTAAAGCCGAGAGGCAATTACAATAAAATGAATATATATTATAGTTTTTATAAATAAATATATTAATCGTATTATTTTGCAAACATCTCTACTATTATATAAAGGGGAAAAGTTTGTAGTGTTGTTCGGGGTAATCTTAGAAACTATTGAAGCGATTTTGAAAGTATTGTATATGAAGTAGGGGTAAAATTTCCCGGGGAGTGCTATAGGGTGTATAGTTTTTTGTTACCGATTTTCTGGAAACCGGATTTTCTAATTTCTTCAATTTTTCGGGAAATAATTGACGGAATCTCAAAGAATTATATGTGAGACAGAGGTAAAATTTTCCGGGGAGTGATATGAAGTGTATAATTTTTCGTTACCGATCTTTTTTGGAACCGGTATCCGAAATTTTTCCAAATTTTCGGGAAATAATTAACTGAATCTTAAAGAATTGTATATAAAACAGGGGTAAAATTTCCCGGGGAGTGCTATAGGGGGTGTATAGTTTTTCGTTACCGATCTTCTGGAAACCGGTTTTTCTAATTTCTTCAATTTTTCGGGAAATAATTGACGGTATCTCAAAGAATTATATATGAAACAGGGGTAGAATTTTCCGGGGAGTGATATGAAGTGTATAATTTTTCGTTACCGATCTTTATTGGAACCGGTATTCAAAATTTTTCCAATTTTTCGGGAAATAATTGACCGAATTTTAAAGAGATATTTTCTTAAAGAGATATTACCTCGATATTTCACTTACCGATTACCGATTTTATTCCTTGGTTTTTTAATTGAAAAATCGAGGTTCTGTGTACATCGCGAGCGACCAATCTCAAAATTCCCGAAAAAACGCCTTGGTAAACCAAGGGATGATGTCGCTGATCGGTAAATAAAATATCGGAAAAGCGGAAATGACTCAATAGTGTGAAACTCGAGTAGAAAAAGACCGGTTACGACATGTTTAATCCACGAAAACATTTATGCGGTCCGATTTCAAATTAGAGGCAGTTATGATTCAAATTACGAATATCAATTTCATCCGAGTGTAATAATTGAGAAAATGGATGCAATATGTGATCATTGTCAAGTAAAAAAGTTTAAAACTTAAGCACCTAAAATGTGTTATTCATGCAGAAAAGTTAAACTACTGTCTTTAAATCAACCACCCGACACACTCCTTATGTTTGTCCACAATAAGGATATTGAAACACAAACAAAGTCGTTTCAAGAAAAACGACTCCCGGGCGAAGCCCGGGTAACCAGCTAGTATCTTATAATTTAAACTGAAAATAATATAATCATAGGATGAACTTATATAGTCGTATAAGATTATATATGATCAGATCAGATATTGCATCTCAAAGTATCCGATAGATGGCATTCGATGGAATCTGTTTCTCGTATTTAAAATTTGACGAATAGTGTTATAAGAACGGTATCAAAAGACACAACACTGTCTCGGGTTATGGAGCGGCACAATTTTTGTATCGTGGAGTCTACTTTTATAATAAAGTGGCATACTTAAAAAATAACATTTGAAAATAAACAATTTTCTGAAACTTACTTAAATATATATGTCCTTATATATAATTTTATATAATCATATATGATCATATAATCTTTTATCAGGCCAAAATTCATATATGAGCATATAAGATCGCTTCTTATACGAGCATATAAGACATTATAAGAGATATTTTTTATATATCCTTATATAATCTTATATAATTATATACGACCATATAAGATCTTATCAGGCCAAAATTCATATATAAGCATATAAGATCGCTTCTTATATGAGCATATAAGACATTATAAGAGATTTTTTTTCCGGGTAATGATTCCTATTCTCCTCTGTCGAATAAAATAAGATTGACTTAATATCTTGAGACAAGAGTAATTATAAATTTAAGCTTATATATTCTTGTGTTTAGACTAAATTTTCACGCGATGTTAGCCGTGTTAGCGCCACAGTATTTAGCGCGAAACCGATGTGTGCTACCGTCTTTTGTCAACGCCAATAACGTGATACGCTATTGACCGAGAAGCGTAAGTGTTTATCATACATCAACGTCGTGGTCGTGAATATAAAGGCAGATTAAAACGTAAGTCTGGAAAGGCTATTGTACAACAACCTTTTTCGTTTTACGTTTATCTTTGCCTTAATTAATATATCTATGCTACAACAGACGTCTCGTTCTCTCAGCCATACGCGCGCGAGTAACGTGTTCGTGCCTGTGGTGGATCTAATTATTACCTGTGGTAGATCTGATTTATTATGAATAAAAGTTTACCAATATCTGTGTTTTTGCTCATAATATATATCTGTGTTTCTCAAAAACCTTTACTTTATTCTTTCGCAAAAAGAATCTTGGAAAAATAACATAAGATTTCCTGACAATCTACACTGAGAAAAAAATGTTCTGGATTTTAGTAAATATTTTAGTTTGCATACAACTGTGACTCCATTTATTAAAATAAAGAAAATTTTTCTTTTTATTAGTATATGTGTATTTGCTGAGAAAAAAATATACTAATAAAAAGGAAAATTGTTCTCATTTTAATAAATAAAGTCATAGTTGTGCAAACTAATATTTACTAAAATCCAGAACATTTTTTTCTCAGTGTATGTACAAGTTTTTTTCCGCAAGAGAATATAATAAGATTTTTTTCAGATTCGTCTATAGTTGAATCAAGAATATTATGAGATTATCACAAATTGTTATCTAAATCTTTCTGAGAAAATTAGAGGAATAGCTTCAAGATTATTTTATTCTAGATTTAAGAATTCCTCTATTTAAATCAAAATATTCTTCTTTTAATACTAAATATGATTGGCCCTATTTCGATCCTATTTTATGATAGATTGAAGAGTAATAGCATTGTATTTAGAAGTCTTTTCTGTGGGTGCGCATTCACGCATCGTATGTAGGATAATCATGTACATCACGGCTGTCGCGATGAGCGTGTTGCGCACAATATAAAACAATAACATTATAACAACAGAAAATTAATATACTATCAACGTTATTTATAAGTCCAAATTACAAGGAATTTTGAACTGTGCATTGATCTCAAATAAATGTCAGAGTAACATTTGAAAAATATTTTTTGTAATTTTTTAAAAATATTTTAACAATATTCAGAAAAATCATATTACACATAAAATCAATATTTCTAAACGTTAATTTAATGTTTCTTGCTTACTGGGATATATCTGATTATATCTCAGATATATTTTACTGTGTGGGCTATTAAGGCAAACTTGATATTTTTCTATTCTCACGTCGAGATGTCAAAAAGAATTGGTTGTCGAATGAAATGCTTAGTGCAGGTTTCGAGATATATTCGACATGCACTTGCATCAAATTTGAAACAAGTTGCAGACGCCTGCACGTCTACGAACGCACACGTCGACGTACCCGGAAAATCGAACGAACGTCAATCTTATGCGAATGGGTGAGAAGCGCCACGCCGCGCCGCGTCAAAAATGAAGTGCGTGGCTGCGACCGAATTGAATTATGCATCGCGTGCACGATTTGTGGAAGTGATCGGCAATCGTTTCGCCTTGAGGTCGTTTCCTTGAGTTTTCCGCCTCGCCCTACTACGGCCGTGAACAGAAGGATGCACATAAAGCATCCTCTTTGGCGATCCTCTTCGTCTCGCCTCGCTTCGCCCCCCAGAGGCCGGCCTGGGACACCCGGGCCACTCGCGAGGCACGCCTGCACGCGCGCATCACGCGATACGTGATCGGGGCATTAATTGCCGATTTTAGCGGCGAGATGGGCTACGGGCTTAGCTATGAGACAACCCAATCTCCCATCTCCCCGTACATATAAACTAACGGGCGAGCAGGTGACAAGGTTTAGTCAGTTGATCGTTTCAACCGCGAATGTAGATCCCTCATTGCGCGGGTGCCTTCTGACAGCGGTGACCAGGCCCCGCAAGGAACTATGACGGTTTTACGGTGTTGCTTCAGCAGGTGAGGGTGCCATGCGTTACGCGCCGAGCGTTTACCGATCTATCGTCGTGTTATTTAATTGATAGAAATCGGCGAACGGCACGCGCGGAATCGAACCGAAGATCGATTCCATGCACGCGCCGTTTTGCACACATACTTGTAGAATCGAATCCTCTCTTCTCGAATCAAGGATGATCGCGACGCCACGATATTCCATAATAGCGGTAATTCGCGACGTCTTGTCAATTCCGAATAATTTTATATCCTTGCTGAAATATAGAAGTTTATCGAGCTAGCAGCGAATAAAGCGATAAATACCACCGAGCAGAAACAAAAGTAACCCAGGCAGTACACATGTCCAAAATCAGGACATAAGACGTCTTAAAGCTGTCTCAAAGATGTTTTTAAGACGTCTTATGTGTCCCGATTTTAGACATGATGTTGTCTGGGAACTAATTCTAAAAGTAACTAGTTTCATCGCGAGTCATCTATCGTGTAATTTGACTAAATATCGTATGCAATGCGTTACAAACACGAAGGTTAGAGAAATAGACATATCAGAGCGACGGCGACGGATATAAGGACTTATCGATGTTGAAATCGCTTTTTCGAACAAATTGAAAGGATAAAGAAATAAACGTAAATTGTTTAACGACAACTATGAAGAACTTGTCGATTTTAACGTCGGTTTCTCGAAAGAATTAACATCTGCAAGAATTGCGAGAGGATGAAAAAAGAAAGAGAAGGAGAGACAGTGTGTGTTAACTCATTGAAAAAAAAAATACTTTAAATATTATCAAATATCAGGACATACCTAAATATGCGCCGAGAAGGAAATATAGGCGGCGTATGAGGCGAAGCGACTATTGGTTATACGCATTTTATGTATTTTTCGGTAGAGAGGGAAGTGTTGCATCCACGTGAATCCTATAAGTACGCAGACACCGTACAAAAATGAATGCGAGTTGGTTGATCGATGTCATATTGATAACTTTCACTTAACTACACCGTATGATTTTTACGTACGCACGTGTGCATCGAATTTTGAAGCATCATATTCTACTACAACTTTCTCCAAACTGTAAGTGGCTACTTCCTTGTAAAATAACTCGACCAAACTTTCCTCCGTGCAAGGTAAACGAGTGAGAAGATAAAAGACTGAATCAAAAGTGCTGTTCCTACATAAGTTAGTTTGTATATTTTTAACAACGAAAAAACGTCGTTTTTACATATTTATTTATCTTATAACAATGAACAAACCCCCAAGACAACCCTGATAACTATAATAAATTTTGAAATTCCCATTGCGTCACAATTTAAATTAAAATTAGCTTTATATTCACGTTACATAAACATTTATAAACATTCAACAGTTTAAGTCAACAGTTTAAGCGTTTAAGTGCAGGTTTTAATAAATTAACAAGTATATTGGATGAGCTTCTCGGTTAATATTCCCGGTTTACCCTTGTTGTGAAACTTATTGTTATGCAATCCGTATGCGCGATTATCCGCGACACACTCTACTTGCATGATTCGATCACGCCAATTAAAGGTATCTTATTCTGAATTGTTAATGTGAGGAAGTAAACGTCCCTCGCGGAATTTGGCGGGCGAGCTAATACTATCTACAATAATACGACGCCATATGATTGAATGTATGTATTAGACAAATGTTATGTAGCGAGGCCATGATATCGCGCGATTCAACATTGGTGCGCAAGGTAACAAATTCACAATTGGGAAGTTACTGAATCTAAATAACTATTATTTCGTAACGACGGACAATGAAATAAATTAAACACTAATAAGTAAATGAAAATTGACCGATATGTGAGTAATCATAAATAAATAGAAATGCCTTATTCGGTCAAGCTGGATCTTTAGGCCTAATAATATTTTTGATTACTTGTCGGTTTTAAAACAGTCAATCAATTTAATAATATTGATGCTAATAAGCACCTTTTAGAACATTGCAAAGGGCACTAAATTGAGCATTATTCTGTAGAAAAAATCTATTATTTTTATTAGCATGTACATGGTAAAAAGAATATATCTTTATGAAACTTAAAAAAATGCATCTCATAAAAAAAAAGGATAAAAGTTCGACTGTTGTTATATATAACTCAGCGATATATAACATTTAATAAAAAAAATTTGATAAGAACGGCTATTTCTATAAAAGGGCGCTTTATTAGGAATTCTTCGAAGGGACAGATACAGTTATTAATGTTAAAATATAGTAATGTTAAAATATATTAATGGTTTTTGGAAGCACATTAATGATTGTAAATTCAGATTTTTATCATTTCGAAAACATGCTAGTGAGCTGTGCAACTAGCTAAATGCATATATTTTTGCATTTGCATGCTATTAAAAATGCTGAATTCTACAGAATAGTGTTCAATTCGTTTTGTTTTATCCACATGTTGCAAAATAACAGCTACCTATTTAATAGATATATTGCATAATATCTCGTTAATCAGATGTAGAATGTATTTTACATCCCACGTGAGTAATGTAGAGGGTTTAAAGAGGATACCTTTTATGTCGGGAAAGAAGATTTGAAATCGACAGGGTGCGCAGAAACCGGATGCTATCTGCATCTTATCTTTCTTCTCTATTTTATGTTATTTTACATTCGTGGTGTTTCGTATTCATGGCATATTTATGATGCATGTTCATCGTGTAGGAATTGCCGGTTAAATTTTATTGCTCACTCGCATTATGTATCGTTTGATGAATCACTGTATAGATAAGTGAAGAATTTGTCTCTTAATCTTTTCATTCTCGGTTTTATCGAAAGCAATTAGCATAACACGGAAATATTGATTCAAAAGGATATTCTTTTGCGTTAAAAATAGTGGATTAAAGCATTGCAGAAACGCATCGAGAAACGCAAATATATCTGCGTCGCAGTTGAAGCAGATACATTCACAAATTATTCCGTTTATCCCTCATTTGCACATCCTTTTAGCACATTTGGTCTAATTGTAAGTATCTAAGTCTCTAAGCAAACGATATAATTCTATCGCAACGTCCTTGTCATTTCGAAAAATATGTTGCGGGAATAATATTGTTGCTGAATTTATTATCTATATGATGATACTGACGTGAAAATTACATTTCTTGTAATCAGTTGAATCGTACATCGGAAGAAATGTGGACCTACCTCGCCTTTGTAGTTGTTATCTACATTATATACGCGTTGAAGAATTACATCAGAATCCTCAAATTTATCTTCACCCTCAATGGACCGAAAACAGTGCCCATTCTTGGCAACGCAAACGCTGTTCTCGAAGGAAATCGTGAGTGATTCAGTATTACTAAAACTTTTGAAATTGCTGTATGCTGTTAATTAATCGTCAACTAATCAAAATCGCTGTATGTCTTATCCAGCCATCTGAATTCTATATTGTTCTCATATCGTAAACGTTGCAACAACCCGCAAATAAAATGAGTTTTAAGTTATCCTATTGAAAGACAGTAAATGTATATTCGTATAGTATGTAAAAGATTTTAATTTCTTAGTGATGCAAAGGATGACAAATGAGGCGCAGAGTTACGGTCGCGTTTTTCGAATATGGTTGACACTTCTGCCGTACGTTGTGCTCGTCGAGCCGAAGGACATCCAAATGGTGCTCAGCAGCATGAAGCACACGCGGAAGATATTTTTCTACAAGCTGCTCGATAACTTTTTGGGCAAAGGTCTAGTTACGCGGGATGTCGACAAGTGGAAGGTACATCGGAGAATCTTGCAACCGGCCTTCCATCGCCACGTACTCGAGAGATTCGCTGGAACGTTCAGCGAGTGCGCCGATCGCTTAGTCGACAAGCTGCTCGAGAAGGACGGGAAAGATATAAACGTCACCGTGTTCGTCAATAACTCGGTCTATGATATACTGATCGGTACGTGATGTAAATTGCTTGTACATACTCGAGAATAGATTTTAATGGTCACAAACAGAAAAACTTGGGTTTTATTATCTAAGAATTTCATCTTCGTACGATTACTCAAAAAAACGCTTACTTAGTTAAAAGTAGAAAATTCTTCTGCGTTTTATTTGTAAAATACTTGGAACTATGTATAGCATAGAAATGCTAATTGGCACTTACTTATTGGAATTAATTAATATTTCCAGCCTTTTCCCACTTTCGAAAAGAAGCGTATTTGACTTGCAAAACGAGTTAAAAGTCGACCTTGTTGATTATATTTATACCTTTTGTTTTATAAATTGCAAACATGGAGTGGAGTAAATAAAAAATTGATAACTGTGCGATAGTATACAAATTAGGATGTATGGTCCAATGCAATAATGAAAATGAGTGCATCACGCAATGAAAGTGTAAAACGCTTTCATTGATGGTATGCCGCGTAGAAATCGACGCGTACCTTAAATGGTATATGCTAAAATACTTCATCTTTTCATAAACACGGCGAATTAGCATGAGAATCCACGTCGAGACTTGTCAAAGTAGTAGCCTATAGTAGCGCGCATTCGTATACTATGCCTTTGTTGATCTTCAATATTTGCGTAACGTTAATACGCCTTTAAAGAGATTAAAAGCTCTTCCTCTCATAATCATACGTTTCGACATCTCGAAGGCGGCGGTACTTATCCCAATGTCAAATATTAGCCACCTGACATAATAATGCTCACTTCAGAGACGATTCTGGGCACATCGGCGAGTCAAAGAAGCAACGACAGTGAAGACGACACGCCATTCAGAAAGTAAGTACAATCCAAAACGATACCAAACAGTAGTCGACCTCATTAGCGAACTTTGTTATCAAATTCCGAAATATTTAAAAAATCGAAAATTGTGTTCTAAAAATTGTGATAAAAACCACCATGTTCTATACTCTAGAAATTATTCTGATAAATTATTTTTTATTGAGATATTTCAATCTTTACAGAATTATTTATCTGAATTAAATTAAACTTGGCTCTTCAAAACTTTTTAACTTGTGCCATCAGTGACTTTGTAAATATTGATATATTAAGTAGTTTTACATTAAAAATTTTCCTGCCGAAGAATGATGAGTTTGCTCTTCATTTCCTTTCTAGAAAACTATGTATACTGCAACGGATATAACGGTAATTACTAACATCGATGTATCTTGGGAACAGGGGCCAAGTTATGGTGCCGTATAGATTTGCACGACCGTGGTTGCTAATCGACTGGATTTACCGATTGACAGCAGCTGGGAAATCGGAGGAACAACAGCAGAAGGATCTGTTCGACTTTTGCTTCCAAAAAATGAAGGAGAAGCGCGAGTTCCTGCAAAAGAACGGTTCCCTTATCACTGACAGCACGCCTAAAAAGACATCCCTGCTTGAGTACATGGTCGAGATCAATGAAAAGAATCCTCGGTTCACTGAGCGAGATATTATCGAGGAATGTTGCACTTTCATGCTGGCTGGCCAGGACTCGGTCGGCACCGCTACCGCGATGACGCTTTTCCTTCTGGCGAATAATCCCAAATGGCAGGAAAGATGCGTCGCGGAATTGAATGAGATTTTTGGCGACGACAGAAGATCACCAACCATGCAAGATCTCAGAGAGATGAAATGTTTGGACATGTGTATCAAGGAATCTCTGAGGTTGTATCCTAGCGTGCCGCTTTTCGCCAGGACACTCGGGGAGGACGTGAGATTAGGTGAGATTTAAAGAGAAAAAACTTCCACGATAATTATTTTATTCGATCCTGTGAATACCATTCAGTTTTACACACAGTTTCTTTATAATTGTATTACTTAGTTGTTTATATATAATTACTTTTTAGTTAGAATAAACTAAAAATTTTTTTAATATCATTGTTTTTTAATATTGGATAATACGTCTTCAACGTGAATATTCAGTAGAATGTAGATAAAAGAACATCCGCGTCAGTAAAAATAATAAAAATAATATAACAATATATTCATCATATAAATATATAAAAAAAATTGCTCTCAATCATTCTCGGAATAATTGCAAAATAAAAACGTTTAAATTAAAAATTATATAACGTTAAAATTATAACTTTCTGTCGTGCAGGAAAGCATGTAATACCAGCTGGTTGTGGCGTGTTTATAGCGCCATATTGTACGCACCGCTTGCCTCATCATTTTCCTGATCCCCACGATTTTAAACCGGAGCGTTTTAGCCCTGAAAACTCCGAGAGAAGACATCCCTACGCTTACATACCATTTAGCGCCGGACCTCGTAATTGCATCGGTGAGAAGAACAAATATAAATCAGTCAGATATATAAGGAAAGAAAAGAGTAAAATTCGAGAAAAGGAAAATAAAGATATTTTAGATTCGTTTACGTTCTTAAATAAAAGCACTAAAAGCTTCTTCAATATTACAAGATAGATTTAACTTTTTTTTTTTTAAGAAAAATACCGTGTGACATATCGTCTCTTTTCCGTACCTTTTTAGGAAACAAATTCGCCACACTCGAGATGAAATCGGTCATCAGCGCCATTCTAAAGAAGTGTCGATTAGAGCCGATCCTTGGCAAAGAGAAGGTGATAGCCAAATTTCGAATGACGGTCAGAGCACACGGTGGACTTTGGGTCAAAGTGAGAGCGCGTGATAAGCAATACGAATCGAAACAATTGAATTAATTAACTATTTCCGGTTTTACGAACTACAAATAGCGATTATAATAATGATATTTCAAAGATTAATAATAATTTAATGGAAACAAAAAGTAACTATAACTCTATGTTACTTCAGCGTTGAAGAAAAACGAAATTTGTCAATGCATTTAGCGTTTCTAGCATAGAAATACTTTGATAGCGCGGTTTAAATAAGTCATATAGAAATCCTTTTTCTGTATAAGCAAAAAATGAAAAGAAAACATTGCAAACACTATGTCACAAATCATAAAAATCGCTTTTTGACTATCATTGTTCTAAATTGTTGGAACGAATAAGTTTACAGATGACTGAAATTACGAGAATATCATATCATTAAATTAATCTTTTTTTTAGTGTTTGTTAACTCTTTTAAATAGATATAGATGTAAACATTGAGAAATGCGACAAACATGTGTACCGACATGTAAAACTTTGCAGCAAACATCTTAAAATTGCGTTAAATAAAAAGTACGTATAATTATGTATATGTACAATTACACAAAAATCCCGTTTCTCTATGAAACTTCGAGCAGAGAGTCCTGAGGCTTTGAGCGGAGCGGACGTGTTGACGAGGGAATTAGCGAGGGCGAGCCAAGAGTAACGTGTGTCGGATTCCGCCCTGTTCAGGGCGCTGACGGCGTGTCGGATTCCGCCCTTTTCAGGGCGTCGACGGCGGTAGTGTCTCTTTTTCGCTTGTTATTTGTGACCTGTGTCTTGCTCGCTGGGAGGGCATTTTTGACAAGGTAGAGTTTTTCACCGAAAACGACGATGACAGTGGACGTCCCTCTAACTC